CATTTTTTCACATGTTGAAAGCTTGCATACGGCATGTGACTTCGCGGCCGATCACCCGAGCCAAGTTTGGCTAAAGTTTTGTTCATGACTTCGTTTCCTTTGAAAGATTCTTTTTCCAAACACCAGATTTTAGTTTTGAAAAGGCAGCGACTATGGGTCGAGCTGAGACATGAGTCTAAGCACGACTGTTGACTTTCAACTTTCCACAAGCATCAATAACTTTGTCACCTTAGTTTACGATTTCATAGTCAAAGCGTCATAATCCTGGATAAAAAAACAATAAAAATGATTTTTATAAATTAGATTAGTTTAATAGATGGAACATTGGAACAGCAGATGAAATTACTACATTATGATCGATGATAAGCAATGTTTCGCGGATCAAATTAACAATCATGACTGATAATCTTGAGATGAAAGACGATGAAGGTAGACATACTGATACATATCTCCCAATAACCTTACAAGACTCAGAAATAGAATTAGCCTTTTATAGTAGAAATGATGATTGATTCAAGTTCTTTTAACAGCTTTCTTTAACACTTTGAAGACAACTTTGATAGTGATCTAATAGTTTACATTTCAATGTCACTCTTTTAGACCTTTACGCTCTGTCAAAGGGCTTTTCGGGTGACAGTTTATTAATATGAAAAGGTCCGAGGTAAAAGCTAATGGTGGACCGCTAATGGATACATTATTTCGTGTTGTTAAATGGTTTATTATTATTATTAGTGTTATTTCATTTTAATCATTACATCGTCACAGTTTATTGAGAAACACAATTGTTTCAGTCTATAATCATAGATGGTGCTGTTGTTTGTTTACCATTTCAGTTTTTTTCATTTGACACCAATATAAGTGCGTTTAATGAAGCAGGAACTTAGAAAAATTATCAATTAATAAGAGTTAATTTTATACCGTTTTTGCATAATATATCATTTCATTCCAACATGGTTAATCTAGTTGTTTTTGCAAGAGCTGCCGTTGGTCGGTCTATGTCCTCTACTAGACCTTTATTAACATCAAATTTGAACGGAAATAAGTTTACGTCAAGGAATGAATCAACAGGTTTTAATTTTGAGCCTTCAGAGGAAAGTAAAAGTTTTATTGAATTATCATCAAAGTTTACTCGTGATGAAATTATACCTAAAGCTGCCTACTACGATAAAACTGGTGAATATCCTTGGGATATCATCAAAAAAGCCCATTCCTTAGGATTAATGAACTTTTTTGTGCCAACAAAATATGGTGGACCAGGTCTCTCTCTAACTGACAGTTTATTGATTGGAGAAGAAATTTCCTATGGTTGTACAGGAATTTCAACAGTTTTGGGTAGCAATGCCCTTGCTGGTGCACCTATCCTTTTATATGGATCAGAAGAGTTGAAGCAAAAGTACTTAGGATGGATTGCTTCAGAGCCAGTTATGGGTGCATATGGTGTAACAGAACCCGGAACTGGATCTGATGTTTCAGGATTGAAGACTAAAGCTGTAAAAAATGAGGACGGAGATTGGATCATTAATGGACAAAAGATGTGGATCACCAACGGAGGTACTGCTAAGTGGTTCTTTGTGCTAACCAGAACGAACCCAGATCCTAAGGCTAAAACTAGCGAGGCCTTTACTGGTTTTGTTGTTGACAGAGATACACCAGGAGTTACACCCGGACGTAAGGAATGGAATATGGGTCAACGTTGTTCAGATACAAGAGGCATAATCTTCGAGAATGTCAAAGTTCCCAAACAAAATATGGTTGGACCTGAAGGTAAAGGTTTCTTGGTTGCCATGTCAGCTTTTGACTTTACTCGTCCAGCTGTTGCTGCTATGGGTGTTGGGTTAGCTCGAAGATGCCTTGATGAAGCAAGCAAATATGCATTGGAAAGGAAAGCGTTTGGACAGGTAAATGAAAGATTTTTCGTTAATTCAGAAAAGTCAAATTGAAAATTCGTAAAAATTGTCATAAAACTTTTAACCTATTTACTATTTTTATTGGTTTTTACAGAGAATTATTTGGTATTAGTTTTATAAAGTTTTCAGTTTTCATAATTTACTCAGGGGAAGCGCACAAATCTATTCAATGAGAGATTTTATCTTTTATTTACGAACTTTGTACTTGTAGTAATACCTGGTTTCTTCAGATTTTTATCTCGTTCTTTGCAGATTATTAATCTATAGGGTATTCCTAATTTATTTATTACTTCTGTATGCTTATTTGCTCGAAGGAATTATTTCAAAAACTTTGACTTTTGGGTTAAGAGTTTGGACTTTTAGGGCATGGAAAGGAAACTTGTCAGAAAATTTTTTGTGATAAACAGTGTTTCAACAGAATCGCATTGCAACACTCAAAGTTCAAAGTCAGGTTAAGCACACAAATCTATTCAATGAGAGATTTTATCTTTTATTTAAGGACTTTGTACTTGGAAGTTGCAAGTCTATTATCTAGCTCATAGAAATTATGTATTTACAGGCCATTTTATCTTTTGTACTTATGTTATACTTATTTAACCAATTTATTTAGATCTTGTTCAGACATGAATGAAAAAATAGTCTATCACTATTGATCTATCTTGATGAATTGCTTTTGAATACTGGAAATTAGATTGGTGAAATCAGTTTTGTTTATTAGGATTGAAAGTAAATAACTAGATTTAAATTTATTTATGTCATGACAATTTTCAAATTAATAACAAATCATAATATTCTAACAATTTTCCTGCTTTTCTTACTGTTTGTCTAGCCTATCGCCAATTACCAGGCAATCCAATTTAAATTGGCTGATATGATGATTGGAGTTGAAACTGCCAAACTGGCTTATCTTAAGGCTGCATGGCTTCATGATAATGGAAAGAGAAACACGTTGATGGCCTCAATAGCTAAATGCTACTCTGGTGACATTGCTAATCGATCAGCAACTGAAGCGGTTCAAGTTTTTGGTGGCGCTGGTTTCAATGCTGAATATCCTGTTGAAAAATTGATGAGAGATGCAAAAATTTTACAAATTTACGAAGGAACCGGAGAAATTCAAAGAATGGTCATTGCTCGTGAACACATTACAGAATTGGCTAAGAAAGGAATGTAATTCCTTAATTCGAATGTGTAAACAGTGTTAACCAATTTGAATTTTTCTCTGATTTTCATCAAATTCTGAACCAACAAATTATTATACCTCAAAATCATCTGATATAATCATCTTTAAATCATATCTAAATCTAAATATTTTAAATTAGAGCGCAAATAATTGATTCAAATCAGCAAAATGTTTATTCTGATTTAAATTAAACTGATCGGACCAACTCTCAGTCTTCTGAATCTTCAAAATCATCCTTTATTTCAAAATTCAGAATGAAAGGAACAGAAAAAAGAATGACCCTGAACATCTAACATAGACAGAGTTGCTAATTTTAACAGAAAGTAAATATTTTGTGGACAAATGTTTAAAATGAAAGAAATCTCGGCAAGTCAATAAAGG